AAGAAACATCTTCGGTTCTAACTGGATGAGAAGTCCAGTTGCCTTTTTTGGGGAGAAAAAAAACCCCATGATCTGGATGATAGAGAATCTCCATAGACACTTGGGACATATTTTATCTGTATGATTATGGCAATGCCTTTTTGAAGCCCTTAAAAGTTGATACAATTGTGTACTCTGAACAACTGGGAAGTTTTGGAGGAATAAGTAGTTCTGCAGGAGCATAACACGAGGGACGTCGGATCCTGTCGATCGGGAATCTGATGAATTTGATGATTGATTAAAAGGTACATATGTTGAGATGGCAGAACTAAAAAATCTCAGGCCTCAGCAAATCCTTGAGCCTATGGGAAGTTCCACAAGACACCACTAGCCGTGAGTTAAGCATGTGACCAAAACCACAGAAGGTGTACCTGAGTATTTTTATAACCTCTATACCTTATCTGTTGTGAGCCAGCTTCTTCTTATCTAACTAAGTAAAATGTGTGTGTGACTCTGTGTGTGTGTGTGTGTGTGTGTGTGTGTGTGCGTGTGGTGCATGCATGCATTCATGCCTTACACTGTATTCAGGGTTGTTCCAATTTAAGGGAGAACCTGCCTTTGTTCAGTTGAATAAACATGTTTGGCTTATCAAGACACATGGACTCTGTTTATTATATTTAGTGAGTCACACCTGAACTCCTGCATAACAATCCCATCAAGATAACTACACAGCAGATACATAGATATTATCAGCGACTTAAAAAGCAATCACTAAAGTTTCCATAAACTGAGATGTCACTCCTTAATAGCCATAATCTGAGTAGAGTACCATTTATAATCGCAACAGCAATTATTTTCAGGTTGTACAAACTGTGTGCTGATATTGTGTACCATTTAAGTCTAAAACGAGGTGCCTTGCACATTAGCATGGCCAGCTTGGGAAAATACATTCTGGTGGGTGAGAAATTCCCCGAAGATGGGCACTAGCATGAGTCCAAAAGTTCAGAAGGCTGAACCTCTGGTCCCGGTGACCAACCCAAATTAATATCCTCCAGCTTGGGGAAGGTGTGAGATTTGATGATGACCAGACACACTTATCCCTGAAAAAAAATTGGGGGAGTGAGATGTCAGATGTCACCCCCACATTGGGCTCAAGTTCCACTTGGTCTTACATGTTGTGGCCCACCAGCTCTGCTGGCAGCAGACTCGGACGATGAGGAGGTTGGGGGGGAACTTGGGCCAGTCCTGGAGTCTGGAGAAGGCTCTGATGGATGCTCTGTGTTGGAAGCAGAGATAGGGCCAGGGCCGTCTGATATTTCCCAGCTATCTTTGAAGTTGGAGATAAGTGGGGAAGAAGAACAGTGGGACCCTGTTCCAGATGCGCGTATGCGCAGAGCTGTCAGGAGAGGAGAACCACTGAGGAACAGGGGCTGACTCGGGAGGAGGGGCATACATGGATGCTGAATGGCCCCTCCCTGGGGAATAAATAAAGGCAAAAGGGGAGTGGTGGTTGCAGGAGACAATAGTTTTGCTTATTATTATGAAGGTTTGCTTATCGTGTTATCGTTGGAGACTCCTTGCCAGGAATTAATTTACAGCTTTGTGACCGGAAGCTCTTGGCCTGGCAATTATCCAAGGACTCATAAGGTCTGTTCTTGCAATTAACCCTTGGAAGGATTATTCCCGGGACTTTCCTGTGTGTGAATGCCATGAATTCACAATAACTAAATAAAGAGGAGTCTCTTTCTTGGTTCTGCTAAGCCTGGGTTAGAACAACACAATTTGGCTCTCCCAGTTGTTGTTTTTTTATCCAGTTCTTTCAACTTACTTTCTGCCTCGGGTTGAATTAAAAGTCCCGCCGTATTTCTTCCGATTAAGGATGAGAGCCGCAATTTCTGGCACGTAGCGCGCAAACATTGCCTACATGCATGAAAGAAAAGCAAAACAAAAAAGGAAAAGAAAAGAAAAAAATGGCATGCAGAGAGAGTTCTGCCACACCAAAGGCAGCAGAATGCCTTGGAATACTTACTTTCTTCCACTAACCGCACTATAGGAACCACCATATTTCTTGCGGTTTCCTATTAACTCTATGATTTCAGGGACGTAACTGGCAAACATGGCCTAAGGAAGAAGACAGGAGACAGAGAAAAGACTAAAAAGAGAGGTCAAAGGAAGGGGAGGGACTGATGAATTTTTTTATAAGAAGATACATCATCCTTACAATCTGAAAATGCAAGACTTAGGTCCTAGTCAATTGAGTCTTTCCTCCAAAAACAGAAAAACAAGAAGAAGAAGAAAGAAAGAAAAATCGCAAAAAGTTTTCATCTCAAAACAAGGTGGTCAAATGTCATTTAAAAAAAAAAAAAAAGAGGGAAACACCGGCTCAGCTACAGAAAACAGTCAAAAGAGGGAGACAGGAATGAAAAAAAAATGAAAAAAAAGAAGGAAAACAAAAACCAAGAACAAGAACAAAATGGAGTCCAAGTGACACTGAAGAGATAAAAACAATGCCATGGCTGGTATTTTCGAAAAGGGGCGAATGGAATTTTTCAAATGTTTACTGTCCAAAACACCCCGCAAAAGCCGTATTTCGGATGCTTGCATTATTATGAGTATTTTAGACAAGACAGATGGGAGGTTTTTCACCTTGTGTCAGTGGCTTACTAAACAAAAGCAGATTTTCTGCCCAATGAGAATGAAAAATGATGTAATTTTTTATTTTTGTTAAATTTCATCTATTTTAAAAGGCAGGTAAGAAAATGTAAGGATGTAAAAGGGGAAAAAAGGCAACGAGGAAGAAAAAATAATTATTCTGCCATGTTTTGTCCAACAAACATTTTGCTTGTGGCTGGGATGCCTCGAAGAGCTGCTGCCACGAATGGGGGCCTCAAGAGCTACCTTTTTGTCAAGGGAAGGAAAATGCACAAAAAGGTTTGAGGTAAAATCACTAAAATGAGAGATGTGCCTGTCTATCTATCTATCTATCTATCTATCTATCTATCTATCTATCTATCT